AATACTACATCTTTGAAGTTTTGGCTCAAACCTGGCCACCATACAGACATTTTTGCTCTTTCACGACATTAACTAATACCTTGATGGCCTGTATGAAGTTTCTCAAGAATGTCTAGACGCATAGAACTTGGAATTACAATTCTGACACCCTTCATGAAAATACCTTTAACCATATTGAACTCAGCTCTCAATGGAAAGTAGCTATTTAATGCCCCAGGAATAGAACACTTTTCTGGCCACCCTTCCTTTGTTAATTCAATGATTTGTTTACAAATAACATCATTTTGTTGTTCTTGTATGATTTCACGGATACGTTTGTCAGTAGCAGGCAAAGTTTCATATACATAGCTTACCATTGCTTCCGCACTACTTTGAAGAACAGTTGTGTCACCATTTTCAGACAATGGTGCACGTGATAACGCATCCGGAACGATCAATTCTTTGCCCGGAACATGGGTAATTGTGAATCTGTAGCGCATAAGACGAATGCGAAATCTTTGGACTCGAACAGGAAGTTCATCTAGTCTCTTGTTGCTTAGCAACGGTACCGACGGTTTATGAGCGGTTTGTAATTCAAATGACTTACCTATGAGAAATGCTGAGAATTTGTCACATGCCCATGTTAGAGCTAGAGCTTCTTTTTCAATTTGAGCATAATTCTGCTCTGTCTTGGTCATGGTACAAGATGCAAATGAAACCGGTTGCCATTCTCATTGAGGAGTTTTCTGAGACAAAACCGCACCTAAGCCAAACGTTGACGCATCTGCAGATACACATGCTTCACGTCATATAACTTGAGATATCTCATTTGTAAAAGCTCGGATTTGAGTGCTTCAAAAGCTTCTTTCTGAGGTGATTCCCAGACAAATTCCCGAGCAGCGAGTAGAAGTTCACGTAATGCTTGAGTCTTATGAGCTGCATTTGGCACAAACTTTGCAAACTGATTTACACAACCAAGAAAGCGGCGAACACCAGCAACATCAGTAGGACGCGGCATTCCTAGTATTGCGTGTACTTTGTCTGGATCTGGCGATACACCAGACTGGCTATCTATAACATTCCCGAGAAAAAGTACGCGACTTACACTGAACTGACACTTCATCGAATTCAGTGTTGCTCCTGCGGACTCAAGTTTTGAGAGAACAATTTCCAAACGACGGTCATGTTCAACTTGATCCGAACCATAAACAAGAATATCATTGATGTGAAATATTGTACCCTCACACCCCTCCAATATTTCAGCCATACATTTGGAGTAGTGTTCACTGGCAAAATTGATACCAAATGGGACTCTACGGTATGCAAACCTACCAAATGGTGTCATGAAGGTTGTAAATAACTGTGAATTCTTAGTGAGGGGAATCTGATGAAACCCAGAATTAGCATCAAGTTTAGACATTACCTTAGCCTCACAACCTAGTTTCCCTAGAGTATAATCTACTGAATGAATGGGAAATTTTTCCACTTGAACGCCTCCATTTAACCTAGAATAATCCACATAGAGTCGATGCGTCTTTTTTAACCACAACCATAGTCCATGGTATGAAATCTCTAGGACGTCTAATAAAGGAGCTGGTAGCACACTATAGCGCAGCAATATTTGACCTAACATTAGCATACCTACATATGTTCCCTAATAATTTTTATTATAACCGTTTAATATTCTTCAGGCTTTAAGGCTGAATTATGCCTGCCATTAACAGAGGTCAAAAAATTTCCAAAAAATAAACTTCAAAACTTTCACAATTTGGAGTACACAATGCAATAGCAAATAATAAAATATGATTTTAAGTATATGATTTAGGTTTCTAAGCTAAAAGTTTGAGGTTATTTTTTTTATCAATACCAAAAGATTATGTCATCAGTGTATCGAACATTATGGTGAACATTATCAATAAAGGTGGGCCTATTGCTCTTCCTTGACTACTTTCGACTACAGCTAAAATTATATTTCTCGTAGTTAGATAGCTCAGTTGCTTATGAAACAACCAACAAGACTTGATCGAATTCATGAATAATTGAGAAAAATCGTTATCATTATCTTCCTAAAATTTGATTATATCCTTCGGTAAGGTCAAAGAAGAAATAACCATCAGAAAACTTGATGATAGCCACAACTAACGTCGAGGAAGAATTGTAAGGCGTTCGACTGCATATGACTCTAATTGATTATTAGCCATGCCCTTGGAATATATGAACATGTAACATCTGTAACATCGAATTAGATATGAATCTTACCTATTTGTTATTGTATTATGTTTTATGAAACATCAACAATAATTTGTTGTTAGACCCTTTACGATTATATGGAAAAATTCTGGTAATAAAATGTTTCAACTGGTAAAAAAACTAATACGTTC